ACCAACCCTGTGGACAGGATCCATCCAGGTCTTTATTTAGTTTAGAGCATTAACCTGAAATTATTTTATATTTACACACAAAAAGTGTTGGTTCCTTAGAGGTTCTTTGGCTTGGGATGAGGCACTATATAGCACCACTGCTACACAAAGAAGTCTTTAAGCCCCTGTATGGATCTTAAGAGGTTCTATACTGGTTCTTTCCCCAATAAACTAAACTAAACTACGATAAAGAGTCAATATAGAACGTTTAAAGCACCTGTATTATTCTTTACAGGTTCTCTACTGGTTCTTTCCCCAGGAAACTAAAATAAACTTGTCAAGCCAAAATCTCAAGGCACACCTGCAATATCTGTGCACAACAGCTTCTATAACACGTGTCACTCTTACCATGACATAAGACAATAGAAATAAGAAAAATAAGACAGGTACTGTACAGACAGTTTTTTTCTTTTCTTTCAGTGGCAGGTCGTCTTCGCTGGTGCTTTGTTGTAATTTGCTCCGTACAATAAAGCGATCCATTGTCTCCTTTTAAATGTTATCATCCCTCACACTGGCTGCCAATCAGGGCTTTGGATGTGTCACACACTTAAAATTCCCACGCATGAATGGCCACAAATAGGTTCCCCATGAAGGTTTGTTTGTTTTTTTTAAATTAAATACTTTTTTTTAAGGTAGATTTTGCCTCTTTCTTAGGAAATTTGTGCGCACTACATACTGATACAGTCAATTAAAAATTCATTCATTCACTCCTTTTATAGGTCCAGTTGAATATTGCAATAAAAATGTGTGGTTATTACAAAATCCCACGGCACACCAGTGTGGTGCGGCACACCATTTGAGAACCACTGAACTAAGCTAAAGAACAAGTAGAGAACCGTTAAAGCCTCTGTATTATTCTTAGGAGGTTTTATACTGGTTCTTTATCTTAGTTTATTTACTTTACTAGGGAAAAACTCTAAAGAGAACCTTTAAAGTCCCTGTATTATTCTTTAGAGGTACTTTAATAGTTCTTCAGCTTTAATTTAGTTTAGTTTAGACACAGTGTATTTCGTGAGGATAACACATTAAACCATTGGCTCATAACCTCCTGCCCCCATGTACATGACAAATATTCCAGTGCTTCCAACAGAGGACATGATAACCTGTCCAACGATTCATAAGAACTGATTAATATTTCAATAATATTTAAAGTAAAAGTGTCATTTAGAAGCATATTGACTCGTTAATTGTATTTTCTGGCATTATTCCTAGGGTCCCTTAAGTAATGCCAGAAAATACAATTAACGAGTCAATATACATTTAGAAGCATATTGACTCGTTAATTGTATTTTCTGGCATTACTTAAGGGACCCTAGGCTCAAAAAATCAAAAATAATTGTGTAGTGTTGTGTCGCACCAAAACAGGTTCCCCTATGATTACAGGCCAAAGAACCATTTTAAGGTACTGTTTAGCACTGTGTTTGTTTAGAGTGATCTCGAGCTACCCTTCAGAAGAACATGACTTTCTAATAAGTAAGTTGAAGTACATTAAACTGTATTTCTGGCACAAATCTTGGTCAGAGTTTTACAAAAATCTCCAGAATAGAAGTTTTTGTGTACACCTGTCTATGTTTCTATAACCTAAGTGCTCACAAACTGCCAATATATTAAAGAATACACATTCTTTTCAAACCAATGAGTCAAATAGCTTAAAAACTGTGTTCAAAAACTGTATAAAACTGTTTTTATTTTGCTGACTGTACACCGTATACCTTAAGATAACAGCTCCAGTAGTGTGCTAATCCTTTGAGAAACAAAGCAGTCTCCTATCCAGCAGCAGTATGTACACACACACGTACACATATACAGTCTCAGCTCCGTGTGTGTGTTTAATTATTAAGTTTGTTTATGTGGAAGGAAGCTGAGGCAGAACTGGGCTCTAACAACAGGAGACTGTGGTGGAGATGTAATGAAAAGCTGACTGTGCAGAAGTTTCTGCTTCAGCTTTTGATGCCAACACACAGTCGTATATGTATAGTACTAAAATGTTAAATAATTCATGATGAAGATTTTTACCACTGCAGTGACTGTTATAAATACAGATATTACAAGGAGGGAACCAGCAGAATTAAAACCTCCTGCTCTCTCTCACTTCAACAACCGATATCCTTACACACCTAAACTATTTGTCCCCACAGTGAAGTGTTTCCTGACATGCCTCGCAGGTTGTTCAGCCGTCTTTACCTCACGGGCATCAGAACAAAGCCAGCATTCATATTCAAAGCCATGTCGTGCCTCTGTGACGGCAGGAACGGTTATGGTTTGCATTAACTTGTAACGCAGCAATAAGTGAAGAGCCTAGAGTGTCTGCTTTGGGTCTGTAATTACTGTTTCTGTCTGCTTCTGAGGACAGTGCCAAATTATCCACTACAGACCAGGAAATCCCCAAACTACAGAAGAACACAGAGACTAAGAACCTGAAGTGTCTCCAGAGACGTCTGTAATGACTGCCTTTAAGTACGTTTCATGCTAACAAAACTCATTAAGCTGTAAAGTCAAGTCACTTTCTAATGTTGAAATTATTCCATATTTGATTGATTAAGCTCAACAAAGTGAATTTGGGTAAAAAAATAACCTTAATTGTTACTGAGAAACAGATGTGGTTTGACATCAAAGGAAAACTTGGTGTTTTTGAACCTGGGACCTATTTTCTCATGTTTTTGTGTTTAATAACCCTTCTCCACCAAAACTTGCTTGTGTACACAGGTATTTTAAACACAGGAAGACAAGCTAAAATAGCCTATTGCCTATATACCTCTTGCCAGTAGACCAGAGCTGTGAACACGGCTCTGCAGCAGACAAGCATGCCCCTCTGTTTTCTACTGTGTCAAGCTAACGTCACAAACAGGTCAGAAAACAGGTTAGTAAACATTAGAAAGAAGCTTGGAGGCCAGGGTAAACATCTTTATATCTCTTACCTATTCAGCTTCTCTTTCAAACTCAGCACAGACCAATTTGTAACGTTATTTCAGCACTACTTAGTTTGAGACGGACGGTATTTTGTGCAGGCGTGTCATTGTATCTCACCGGTAAAGAGGCTAAAATTAGTGCGTTCACCCGGGTGTTGTATTTCTATCGCTGCTGATCGGAGCCAGAGCCGATAAATATCTGTGACTACTGCAGTGTAAAACTTCAAGTAAAAGTCTAGTCCCAATTAAACACCCCGTCCCTTCTATTAGCCTGGTTTGGCTACACATTTTGACAAATAAAGGCCTGTCTCAATTAGAAGCCTGGTCTGGCTGCTGAGCAGTTCATTTTTATAGAAGTTCTTTGGATGTAATAAAACCGGATTGTTGGATACCCACTTGAGCTCACGTTGGTTAGCTGTTTAGATCGTGCATACAAATATAAATGTTTAATCTTTTTTCAATATGGAGATGCTACACATCGTTAGCTCAGTTAGATTCTCCACAGTTCAATCATTCAATTCATTTTACTGAAACCAGGAGCACCAAAGAATAATCAGCTCAGATTTACCACCATAGTAAACAAGGGAGAAGAAAAGAAAAAGGCGGTAACTCCTGTCCTCTTAAGTGGTCATGAAGTCAGAATATGTGTCCATCCCTTGATACCCCGGTAAGTTATTCGTGTTCCATTAGTCCACAAGGGTCCAGGTTGCAAATGTTATTATTTATTAATGTGTTAAAGAGGTGTTGTGTCAGTATGCCGGGTGCTATAATCCTCGGGTGCCGTAAAACTAGTGTTGTAACTGTTGAAGCTGTCTCTTGGATCTAGATCAAATGATTCACAATTGAAACAAATTTTTATACAAGTAATATTCACACTGGTTTAAATAAATATTTCCCATCTTTGCTGAGCAACAGTTTTGGGAATCAAGGGCCTGTCCCAAACATAAGTCTGTGGTGTTCAGTGATTTAAGCAAATAATACTCTGGGCTACGAATTGAAGTTTTACAGTAAATACAAGAGTGAATTGTTAGCAGGTGTTAGTGGTTTTTTTTGGCAGTGGGATTTAATGACTAATGGAGACAACAATTTTTGACATTGGTCCAGTATTGAGCAAGAACACTGCAGCCACAGCAGCAAAACAGGCTGCAATGTAATCCCTATAGGCAACTCTGCACTGTCAATTTAGGTCCAACAAATGTTTGTTTTTGCCACTGACAGGCTCAGATTGTAAGTGTCTAACGTTACATAAAAGACCCTACGGAGAAATGAAACAATTTTCCTTACCATTCTCTGGCGTTTTTGTTATTGTGACCAAGTCTCACTCAAGGAGAAGTCTCATTCCTAAATCTGTCGAGGTGTGACTTGTTGCAGGAAAAACAAAAGTGGTGAAGAGTTTGAGAGAGGAGTCCCGGGAAGTGTTTGTTGTGTTGGAGTACAGAAAGCGTAGCTTATTGTGATAAAAGATTTTCAGTATCATGGTAGAATATTTAGCTGATTTCATCACGAGACTTCTCCTCGAGTGAGATTTCGTGACGCACACTAACAAGCAGACAAGCGAAAGCTAAGAAAAACGTTTCATTTCTCTGTGGGGGTTCAATTCCATTTTCAACCATTTATCCGAGGCTGGGTCACAGGGGCAGCAGGCTTAGCAAAGTACTCCGGATGCTCCTCTCCCAAGCAACGCTTTTCAGCTCCTCCTGGGGGATCCTGAGGGGTTCCCAGACCAGACGAGATATGTAATCTCTCCAGCGTCTTTTGGGTCTGCCCCGGGGCTTCATACCAGTTAAAGGTTCCTGGAACACCTCTAACGGGAGGCGCCCAGGAGGATCATGAGCAGATGCCTGAACCACCTCAACTGGCCCCTTTTGACGCAAAGTTTCGTGCAATGTTGTCACACTTAAAATCTCAATGTGAGCCTGTCAGAGGTAAAAACAAGTACTTTTTGTCTCCATTAGTTACTTAGACACAAAAACATGGGAAAATAGGGTCCACATTGGAGAAATACCTTAGTCTCCATTTAAAGGTTTGTAATATCGAGCTTGAGTTTCCTTCTTACTTGGCCCCAGTATCACCATGAGATATATATTTTATTCATAGACCAACAAAAATAAACAAAAATATAGAGCATCACATCAACTTTTTATAGGCAGAGAAAAATAAAGGGTATAATTTTATACAAGACATCTAAAGAGACCAATTCAAAGCACAAACACATAAATCACGACTAATAATAACGATTACAGTGAACAATTTAAACAGGGGGAAAGCACAAGCACTATAACTTGAAGAGTGTATAAAAAAGACAAATTTGTTTGCAAAATATTCCCTACTGGGTAATTACATTGACCGCGGGGTTAAAGAGCCCATCAGGGTCAGGATTGCTGCGTTTAAGGACACTAGAAGCTCTACAGAGAGCTGTCTTGTCTCAGATCGGTAGATGCTACTGTCTCTGAAACAATCCCACATTATAGTTTGAACAAGTCATCATCATTTAATAGAGATTAAAAATCTACCAGCTTTAAAATCGTATGGCTTTGCTGTTCTCTTGAGTCCCTAAAATGTTAAAGATTAGCACCACTGGGCTGGCATTAACATCAAAAGCTGGTTTAATGTAAATAAGCACTGTAAAAGGGTTCAATACATCGTCCGTGCTCGCCCACTGTGTCTTTGTCTAGTGTTATAGAACCAGAAGGAAATCGATCCACTTCCACCACAGCGGGTAGCTGACAGGAAACAGGACCCAAACTAAGACTATGCTTTCCTATTCCAGCAAAAGCTTCTCTCAATATTTACTCAACAACTTTTGCATTTTTGAGCCTCTGTTTTCCAAAACCATCAACATTATAAAGGTTAACGGTCACATTATAACACATGTATATAAGTATGTACTACATGTACATAGAGCTAAAAAAAAAAAAAAATACAGAGACTTCAGATTTCGAGGAGTTATTAGTTACTACTGTTATTTACACGCCTCTATCTGTCTAAACATTTCCCTTTGTAGAAAGCTGTGCTTTGTACTCAAACTGCCTCGTCTTCACAGGTACAAAAATACGATGTTCGTATCCCCACACCTGCTCGCAGTATTTTCTGTCATGTCATGCAAAAACACTTAGTTATCACCTTAACTGTCCTACAAAAATAATTGGTAGCAAAATAGATTTTAAAGTCTCGAGAGTCATGCATCTGTCCTTTTCACTGGTTTCTGTACATAATTCAGCTTTTTTTTTTCTTTTACGGTCCTGAGTGTGCAAAAAGTCGATATCACTGATGGCTAAAAATAAGACCAATGTTATGGACTGCTGAGAAAGAAAATTAAAAAATAAAAAGCAAAGGCATCTTCCTGCTCTCTTTACACAGCCGTCTGCGGAGCACACACGTATTCCAACTACATCATGTGTGTTCAAATGATAATTTAACTACAGGTTTGCAGAATAGCGCAGTCTGTGAGATGTTTTCAAGTTCTGTGTGATCCTATGCTACCTACTACACAGTACAATGCAAAAGTATTTTGCAAATTGGCAAAGCTTCCTGAAATTAATGCAGGAAAATATTTCATATAACCTTATTGCAGCTGTGAACTACAACTGAATGTTCTCTGCCAGCATTGCCTCATGAGAATATTAACATTTTACAAAAGTGCATCATCCTCCTGATGACATCTGATGAATGCCACTGTCTTTAAGTACTCATGTATGGGTTTAAAGGTTGTACCTCCCGTCTGCTTTATCTAGAGTGACTGATTTCTTGTTTTTACTGTAACATTTGTTCCTGTATGAAACTCAGATGTTGAGTTAAACACTGTTATCTGCCGAGTCAGAGTGACATAGACTGCATGAAATGACAGTATGAAAACCTAAACAGATTACAGCTTACAGTATATTCCTTCACACAGTGTTTAAAAACGGTGGTTAACATCTCCGTTATATGATCATTTTCAATCCGTCTCTCTGGGTCACATTTGTAAATGTCTTCATAACCTATCAAATGCCCAAATACAGAAACAAAGTCAAGTGACATGCATTTTACATGATCTTAAACGTTGAACAAAACTGTCATTAATGCTTACAAAAGTTCATTTTTATGTCCACGGTTAATGTTAACATCTGTACAAAACAAACGTAAAAATCATGAAAAATGAAATTTAAACAAAAGAGGAAAGAAATAAGAATCTCTTAACTGAAAAGACAAACAAAAAAACCCTCCTCCCACTGCTACAGCCTTTCTGGCACTTTAAAATCTGCCAGAATAATAATTCAGGACAAACTGTGGAGATCATACTAACATGGTACTGCTTTAATGCACTTGTCCCCTTTTGCCACAAACAACATGTATATAAAAAGTGCTACTGACAGCTGGTGGGGAGGAAGGACTGAGTTACAGAGTGAGGATTGGCTGAGTGAGGGGGGCTCGTCATCTTTCCGGGTTTGTGTAGCCGTTCTTGCCTGCGTGCAGTCTATGTGTTTTCTTAGTCACTGACAGGAAGTGGGTGGATGAAGGGTTTCCCTAAGAGACGCTGGAGCAGCGGATGCTGGGGGAGCCCATTTGTGTGAGCACCTTGTCGAGCCACTGCAGGGGGCCGTTCAGGTGCAGCTCGATCCAACAGGGGGTGCTGGTCACTGTCTGTCGCCTGGGAGAGACACGAGAAGAGCAGAGACAGATGTTGAGAACACAGGGAAGGCTGATGAGAGTAAACTTACAAAGTCAAGTTTCAGCAAAGTCAAACTACTTTCATTTTAGCTGTCATGTAAGCTGAGAAGCTGACCTGAGAAAACAAAAAGAAAGAAAACACCAACACTGGATGTATGTAGTTCCATTTTTAAGACATCATAATGCCAATTAAGACAGAATTTAAAGTGGACCTATTATGCCCATTTTCAGGTTTCAGGTACTTGCATTTTTGGTTTCTATAAGAACATGTTTACATAGTTTACCGGTCAGATAACACTTACACACTCTTTATACTGTCGTTGTTGAAACCAAGCGGGGACCTCTGGGGCTAAATAATGAAGCCAGTACAGAGGTGCCAAAACATTTAGTGCACGCTGGCTGCCAGTGTGTGTGTAGCATCCTCAGCTTCACAATCACCCGTCACTCCCCCGCAGCGCCATCCTCCCCAAAAATGGTCACTTCTAGCTCAAAAAACCCAAGATGGTGACGGCCTAAGTGCCAAACTCAAGGCTTCAAAATGGGAGTCCACAAACCAATGGGTGACGCCATGGTCGCTACGCCTATTAGTTTTACAGTCTATGGCTGGAACACCTGAATTTACCCTCTGTCTGAAATGCTCAGTTTTAGCGCCTCTCTCTTTACGCCCTCTTCCTGAATAAACCCAGTCTGCTCTAATAAGTCAAACTTTCTGGGTCTTCCATATCTCTGCAGCCGAAGAAATAACTGTAACAGAGAATGGCGCCACTTTCCACCCTAAAAAAACACTAACAAAAGCTTCCCAACACAACCGAACATATTGAAGCAGGAATATGATCCGCAATCAGGGAGAAGTTTATGACATTGGCAACCAAGCTGACATGTTTCCCTGATGTTAGCATGTAGCTACATGTAGCAGTGTAAGCTACATAATATAAAAACGTGCAGCAGTGTGCCTGGAGCTGACGACCAGATGGAGAAATCTGACACACGATGACATCATACTGTAGCCAGAGTAGAAAAAACTGAGTATTCAGAACAGTCTTAAGGCTGAGGGATTACTTCTACATATGTTTACCTCATTATTTAGAACTTCTGACATGTTTAATACAAACATCCTTGATTGTAATAAGACACAAAATACATAGAGGCATGATAGGTCCCCTTTAAAATCAGTTTAATGTCAACTGAGCCAAAAGTATTAGGTGAGCTGAAAAACCAACCTTGTCTTTTCTATTTGTGTTGTCATCTTTATTTCGTGCCTACAACAATTGTGTTTTAGTGATGAGTTAAGCTAAACCAGAATAAATATGACCTTGGCTAGCGCTTGCTATCCTCTATGTCTCTCTGCTGAAATAATGCTCAGGAAAAAATGTGATTTTATAGGTATCATACTGAAACTGAAAAGAGGATGTTCTATCTCACAAACATTTGTTCTATAAACATCTAAAAAGGATGTACAAAGTGATGGTAAGTTTTCTCCACTTACATGTTCTTTAAAAATGGTTTTGAGAGGGTAATTTATTTCTGTTGTTTTTGGTTCTTGAAAAACTAAAACTTTAGAAGAGGCAATATAAATAAAGCTTTCCACACATTCAACATTTGATCTCCATATCCTTTGGCACATCTGTGATTCCCCACAGCCTTCATACAAAAACCCTCACTGCTTTTCCCATAAAGAGGAGAGGCAATCGTGTTCAAAGTAGAATAATGTATGAGTGTGAGTGGAGTTAAATGACTGCTCTTATGTCTAAAGTGCCTGGTGAAAGAGCAACATCAGCTGCAGAAAACATTGCAGACGCTATATTAAAAAATGCACAAGAGTTTTTATGTTCTATAAAAAAAGACGGATCAGATTTCCGAAAGGATTCTGGTTTCAGTGTGCCTCACCCGGTGATAGTAACCCTGTCATTTCAGCCTCTGTTCTCTGCCGCTGACTTCTTTGTGTTGTGTTGAATTGCCTGACAAATCATTCAAAACTGATTTCATTTGGTGAGAAAATAAAGATCCACACCCCATGTTTTAATCCAGCTTGAATGAGCAAAGTGAATCAAACACCATAATCTCTCAGTCAATGCCAACGACAACAGCAGGCAAAACGTATCCTGTACGTTGTTATACATCTAATTTATGCACTGGCAGAGCCAGATGAATGGAGACACTTGCCAGCTGCATGATTTCCCTCTGGTTTATATGGTTTGTTTCATGACTGCTGGCAATAAAGCTTCTGTCTGAATAAATTAGGTGCAACAAGGATGCAAAAGTGAGATCTTTCATTCATCTTTACATCCGCCTGTTGACATTTTGTGGACTTTTTCTTTTACTGGATTAAAGAAAGAACAGGTAAAAGGGACAAAAGGGTTAAAAACATCCAACAGTCAGCATGGGAAAAGACAGAGACAGTGAGGTGTGGGTGGAGGCCCGGCTGGTCCAGTAACCTGAATCCTGTTTTTAACTGTCTCCACATGTCAGCATTTGGTCTGGACAGGACTGGTGAGCAGTCGCTCGCAGCACGAAGGTTTCCCCCTTGAGGAAACCTCCTCAGCAGAGCCAACTTTCAGCCAATCACCGGCTCGCCTTTTATTCCGTCTCGTCCTTTTTCACTATCACTGAGTCAGACAGTATGGAAAACAGGGAGGGGATGGAAGAGGGAAAATCTGACATCTCTTTTTGACACAGCACATGTGTGTTTGTTTAAAAATAGTCTGGCGTGCCAACTGGGGCCTGTTCCTATTGATGAGGGCCCGGCGACGTCACACCGGACTCACCAGAGTGTGAGCAGATGCCTGAGAGCGGGGGCGGCTGGACTGTGGGATGTGATTCACAGTCTGTTTGTTTCTATTGTCTGTGTTTACATAAGGGCTTGCTAAGGACTTGATCTTTGCACAACAGCGCCTATAATGTTGCTGACAAGTTGGCTGTGGGTTTTATCATGTGTTAAGCAGTTCAGCTTTGTAGCGGTCGAGGTTTACCGTTTAGGAAACGTGTGAGTGGTTGTCATGAACCCAAAGCTGATGAGCAGCTTACCTGTACTCGGCTCCCCAGCCCTTGACGAAGCTCATGCGGATGGTGCACATCCTCGTGAGCTGGTACACAGCCTCAAAGCCCTGGTTGACTGACTGGGCTAGCAGGGCAGCAAACTCCTGGTTGTTGAAGATCTTCAGGTTACATCCTGGAGGAAACAACCAGCACAGAACCAAAAGTCAGGCCACAACAGCTGGTCACAATAACTGTGGTATTAAGACATGATGTACATAAGGCTGGGGACAGCTTTTGGGGCGGTGTTGCTTTAAGGGGAACTCGTATAAAGTCTTTTGTGGCTCCAGAGGGAGCAGAAACCTGATAAACTGCCTCAGATGATGTAACACTGCATCATGAGTAATGGAGGCGCCAGGTTTTGACAAGAATGCATGGAATAAAAAAGATTATTTCTCTGGTTCTGCTGATTCAATTCTGAAACTGTTTTCTTTAACTGTTTATCGTGTGCCGAGCAATGATGCAGGAATGCAAAGCTAAATCAGTGGAGCATTCTTTTAAACATGGGTGGGAACTGTGGATGAAAGTTAATATAAGGAGGGAGACAGCTGGCCTGCATGTTACTCTGTTTCTACAGGCTCACAATTTATTTAGCCTAATTTGACAGGGAAAGGAATCTCCCTAGAATTGTAAAATCACCTGATTCACACAGTTTCATACATAAAAGTCCCAGTGAAACAGAAGTTAAGGCATCTTGTGCTTCAGTACTGTGATGAATTTCCCAGTGAAACAGACTTTTTGAGCACTGTACAGTTACAAGACTGATTTAAATCAAATCTTGCGCAATTTACTGGACCGCTTAAGTGGGCCGGCTTAGAGTTTAGCGCGATTCGTTCGTGGCTGAGCAGACTGTTGGCTCCACTAAGACTTCCCTCGCTGTTAGATAGGGAGGAGGACAAGGGGGAGATTAATGAATTAGACTTGCACCACAGTGTTTCGGAAATGAAATCAAAGGTTTTGCCATATTCTCTCTATTCTGTCTCCATATTGCTTTGTTAGTCACTACAACCCACGGTTGGTGGAGTGTGACCTGCGTGGCTAGTTTGTGGCTCAAAGTCTCATGTGATTGGATGGACTTTTGTAAACGCCCCTGAGTGGAGGATGAGTCATCAAACATTTGAAAGTTTTACCTGGTTTTACAGGAAGAAGAAAGACTGGATTTGATGTAAAAAATACTTGAATACTATTATTTTTGAACATGTATTTAGCTTATAAACAGAAATAAATGCTCAGTTAACAAGATTACAACTGGGAAAATGTATTTTTCATTTCAAGGGAACTTTAATTTTTCAATTTCTAGATGATACTTGACACAGTGATCTATGCATTCAATAAGATACGCATTTAATTTCTCTGGTTATGTAACCTTTTGTAGCCTTTACGTTAATCAGACAGCAATCACTTCAGACTTGTGTTGTGTTAATAGTGTTACGGGGTTGGACCTCATACATGACCTTTACATCAAAGAAACCCAGGTGCTTATTCAGACATGAAACAAACATGTAAAACTGTCATTACATGCAGATAAAGATGTGCATGTCTGGGAAGGATACAAGTGACTCAGAAAACAAAGGGCAGCAATGCGTTGTGTAAACATCTTGCTGCCAACAGCAAAACTCTATTAGGACTTGTGTGATGTGTTTTAAGGGAAAACTTGTACCAATTTTACAAATCATGTGGTAAAAGTAAACAGACTACTGTGGAGAGGAAAACTTTAACCAATGAGGACAGCCCTGGACTGGTGATGAGGGAAAGTGATGGGCCTGATGTGTCCTCTGCTGTTCTGCTCTGAATCATCCATTTTAAAAGAATTAACTAAACTTAGATTAATCACAACTTGGCTGAGTAACAATCCTCCAATGTCGTCAGTTTTGCCATAGACATTGAAAGTGCTCAAACTGGAGGATTTGTGAAGTGGAAAAGTCATCCACCTCTGCAATTTTAACTTGTGTCTCCAGAAGTATATTCCTGCCCCGAGGACTTCACTCAGTTATTAAAGTTAAGAACAGCCCAACTTCATGGTGGACACTGGAAAAAGGTGTCTCTAGCCATTTTGACACATGCACTGCAACTCTGCATTTATCTAGACATTACCCAGAGGAGCTGTATGTGAGAACGCAAATGTCCGAATCAGTTTAATCAGAAAGTAAGTGGGCTTTACCCTGCCAACTCCCTAGTACATAGCAGGCGTAATTTCCGATTGAGTCCATGCGTGAAAAGAGCAGGTAATTGTCAAGTGAGTTGGCTTGTTGATGATGTTTCTATGATGCGGCCTACCCGAAACTGTAAAAAAAATAACGTCTGGCGGTGAAAAAAGAGGGCCATTTACACGAAGATGCCGATAAAAATGCCTAACTGGAGAGATGACAAGATACGGGAATGTGTGTTGGTAAGGGCCAAAGCTGAAATGAAACGGCAAGTGACTCTGTTGTTTAAGACCAAACTTTGAGCGGCTATGTGGCCACAGTGTAATCTGCATCACATCCTGCCTCCTGCACGCTCTACCAAGGCGCCACCGTATTTTCAGAAGGCGAGAACGCTTCCGACACAGACTATCTCCTGTTGTGTGCTACATCGTATGAGAAAACTGCCTCTGTCAGCTTGGCACACACCTGGAGGGATCTTGCAGACTGTGGCAGGGTGCCAGCCGTAGCGTTGGTTACAGTTGGGGCTCTGGACAAAGATGGCGCTGTCACTGAGACACTCAGCGAAGACTTCTCCTCCGATGTAATACAGCCGCACACCACGGCCTTGAGGAAAACAGACAGAACAAACTCAGATAAAATGCCACAATGAAGACATGAGCAGTAATCACAAATGTAGACTCACGTCATGTTTGGAGTAGCTCTAAAAATGAGCATGTGATTATAAATGAATTATATGTGCACTGAATGATGTCTCACCAATATGCCTGCGCGTTAACTCCACAGCTGCGTTGCGGTTGACGTTGGACAACAGGCCCAGGCAGAAACGCTCCGAGTTGGAGGGGTCCGTGAAGCCATCCACTGTCAGCGAGGGCTGTGAGGCGTGGAAGGTTTCTCCTACTCGCTGGTTCAACTCGTAGTATGAGATAGAGCACCAGAAGGCCGGCTCGCAGTATGTCACTGGTTGAAGATCTGACACAGAGAGACGGAGAAAGATACAGTTTGATTTCATCAAACCCAAATAGGAAGTAGAGAGAAATGACAGAATGACACTGTAGATAGTAGGGTGGCTAATAAACCGTGCAGATTAGGACGGTGCAACATATTGTTTCAGCACTGATGTTGCAATGTGCTCACACACAATCATCACATCGCAGGACGTGCAACGTCAAGTACAGTAAATTGAATCAAACGTGTCATGCTATATCTTTATCTGCTGAAGCTTGCACGGTTCTCATTTTCATGACTCATGTTACCGGTCTAGCCCTCCCCTTTAATACAGGTTACATGTGTATGTGATGAAGTTTGGCAGCGTTTGTTACGGGAAGCGAGACTCCCCTGCATGTGTGTGTGCCTGTGTGTGTAAAAGCACAAAAAACGGGCTGGCAAGTGCCACAGACAGTAAGGAGCATGCTTTTCCAAAGCGACAGCAGTCAGCATCAAGTGTTGATATAAGCTCAGCTTCCAGTAAAGCGACTGTAAAGAAGGGCTGTGGTTTGTGTTCACTCCACAGAAGAGATAAAGCTTTAATGCAATTTTATCACAACATCTCACAATCAGTCTTTACCCCACAGTCTTCACAGTTGCCAGACTAGTTACCAGCCGCAAGCCAGGCTAAAGTTTTATGACTTATCCTAAAGAAACCAGGAGTCTCCCATCTACAGCTCGGAGCCGCAAGGCTGGAAAGATAACGTTAACACTCATAATAATCTATAAGAGAAGTCTGTATGTTTAACAACCAAAGCACGTCTGGCTAGCAGTCAACCACAACCTAAAAATGAGAGAGGAGCAGGAGGGGAGCAACATAAGGAAGCCCCCTTATTTCAGGGTAAACAACATGCATTATTAATATGACATGTTAAATTATTGACTTTAGCCTGGATTGATAGAAGAGTAATATATGAATACAATGGAGTCATGGTGAGGCAACCAGTGCATTAAACTACCTACCGCCCCCCTCCTCCCTATCAAGAGAGTCCTCAGAGTAAAAAGTAATTTTTCAGCTTTTATTTTTTATAAGTATTTTATTTTCTATGCAGATGTGCTCTCCTACAAAATCACCCCAACAATTATGTTATGTGTAATTATTTCCAAACAGAGCTGTTCAAGTTATCTGATGAAAACTCCTGCAAAATACCACAGAAAAGAAAATCGAAAGAAATAAAGAAATTCAATGCTTAAAACAATACAGGAGGGGAAAAAACAAATGGATAACAGGAGACAGGAGTCAAGGTTGGTGCAAATCAGAGGAGTATCGGCCAGAAAACAGATGGGGGAGAAAATGAAAATGAACAGGAGCAAAGAAGATGCAAAATGCGAGGAGAAAAGGGGCTGAGGTGGACCTAGAGGGGGAAGAAAAACCCCAACCAAAGAAAACATTTGGCTGAGCTTGCGTCACAAAATGTCAAACCCATACGCTGTTTCCCAGAAGCTTCTACCAGACGAAATGTGGAAACTCAACCCTCACTGGTGGGATGCTGGAGCCAAAATGGTCAAATTACAGGCTTATCCATGATCATTTTCAGTAACTTCAACTGGTTCCGTTAATTTGCTCTTTTTTCCCTCAACATGGCCACTGTCTAACAACCCCGACATTTTGTCCTCGGCTTTGAAGTCCAGAACAGAGCTGGACGGCACTGCCAAATGAAACTGGTGTGATTTTGTTATTTCACCAGACGCTTTCCAGCCAAGCCCCCCTGGCGTTTTTCCATCCTGATAGAATAAACATAGGATATTGTCATTGAAGTGAGCGTGGGCTGAATGGTGTCTTGGCCTGCGTAACAGGGAAGACAAAGGCTTCTTTCATCACCTGGTTTCCTCTTACAAAACTGGAGTCAAATCAAACAGAGAATTCCCACTGGGGAGATACACTATTGAAACATTTGTCTGTAAGTGAGGGCAGACAGACAGAAAAGTACACAAACACACTCTTACGCACACACACAGACGCATAGTCCTTACCTAAGTTGCTGTGTGTGGGTGAAACGGGGTTTGGTGACAAGTTTGGGGAGCTTGTGTCCATGCTGTGGGTCATCTGGTGATCGGTCTCGCCATCCTCACTGAGGTAGCCTGGTGGTGGCGTTTCTGAGAGACACAAAACCATAAAGACAGAAAATAACTCATCACATTCGTGGCAAAGTTTCCTAAAATAGATCGGGTGGAAATTTGCTGTGTAGTGGCTGGCACAACACAATACAAAAACATAAGGAGGACAATAATACACACTGGCAAACCATTCACATTACATAAAATGAATATCTAACACAGCAAAATTTCAGTTCCCGTGTGTGTTTAAAAATGACTGATGAGTATGTTGAAGCCATGTCAGATAACAATCATCAACACATTCAGATTGACAACAAACATGTATCATGAGTCCTGCACAGATCTGATTTTCAAAACCTGCTCTAAAACCAGAACCTTGACATTCAAAACTGCACCCGCCCAACCACCCGCACATATAATATATTTATCACCCAACACCTGCGATCTGACCCACATGTACTTTTTCTTCCCCCCGAAACAAACGCGGATATAAAATTTAGACAAAATATCACTCCGTGAGTCACCTTTTTTAGCAGGTCGCCGATACAAGATTTTGCTCAAACGAGGAAGCACCTCCAATTTATTTAAATCAATCATTTTCTAACATTGCTCAGCAACAACGCAGGAACAGAAGCTTGTCAGCACTCAACTCTTGAACTTAAGACCAGGTTAACCGATAATATCCCTTACAACTATCTGTCCACAAGATCAAATCTTCTCTTAGAAGTGAAGTCATAAAATGCCAGAAAAGACAAAAATGTGATGCACTTCCTGACCCACGGCTGTTAAATGTTTACAGCTCAACACTGGAAAACAAATCAGATTCTTACACAAGTGTTGGTGTAAAAGTATCTGAGTGTGAGTCCTCTAAGGAACCATGCTGGTACCTGGTATGTAGTTGCTCTGGGGCTCGATACCAGCAGGGAAGTTGGTGTTTTCTGGGATTGAATGGCTGTAATCATCCAGAGGTGGGAACTCGCTGGGGATTTCTGTGTGTCTGGGCACCAGCACTGGTGGGAGTACTGTATAATGGACATGAAGACACACAAACACAAATAGCTCCTTAGAACATAACAACAGCCATTGGCTTCATAATGGGCAATGTAAATAAATATATAATGCAATTAAATTCATTAACAAACAATAAATAATGCAATTAAAAAGTAGGATGAAGTTGAAGGTGAAATAAATCTGGACAATTTGTATCCTTCAGATTATTGGAAAAGAAACTTCCATTCCTTCATAAAAATCTAAATAAGGGATAAACACGCTCCAAGCTTTCGTACCTGGCGTCTCTACTCTCTGGTAGTGATACGGGTTGACACACACTTCATCCTTCTTCGTGTGGAAGGCATATTCGCACAGCTCCACCGCCCGCAGCTCATGGTGGGACTGCAGGTCGGGCCAGCGCCACAGACGGCAGTAGATGACGTGGGGCAAACCTTTTCTGTGGGAGACCTGCAGACGGCCATCCAGAGACCTGCAGGCAGGACGAGAGGAAGAAGCAGAAAGGTTTGTCAGTCATCTGTAACCTTCTGTTTGAAATACTGACTCGTGACTTTAAACATTTTCAATCGTAAACAAAAAAGTTTTATTGTTTGGTATTTTGATTATTTCTTGGCCCCATATGCATAACATGTCTGCCATTTAACTATTTACTTGGGTTTTTACTTGAAATATTGACTTGATGTTATGTGGAATATTTGAATGTTTACTTAAAATTTCATAATTTGAATAATAGTATTTAATCATATTGCCACGTCTTCATTTATAGATATGTGATCTTCTCTCTTCTTCACGGTTATGATGAATTACCAGTCCAGATATGAGACTCTGACAAGTTATTGTGTGATCTGTCCTCCCTATCACCTTTGTGCACTTAGTACAATGAAAATCTAATTTTGTTTTGCCATAAAAAAACTAGTTATTTTTAATACATCTCTTATCTTAGATTGTATTCTATGGACATTGGTATATATATTGTTTGCCTCATTTTAAGGATGTTTTGAACAGTTTCGATGTGGTTATTGACTCAGGTGTTTCAGATTTGGCACTGATTTCTGACTGGCTGTTGCAGCCTGTGGCTTTGGTATAAACACAGGTATTTTCAAATTGTAAAGTGATACCTGACCAGGGTTCATGTCCAAAATGTAATAATAATAATAATGATAATATCAAGAAGAAGAAGAAAAAGAAAAAGATGAAGATGTAGAGGAAGAATTCACACATCAGACACTAGGTGTGGTACAGTATTTACTATTGTTGATGTCAGGTCTCCTACACTACCTCCTACTAATGAGGGTCCCAGCTGTGTGTGCACTGGATATGAGGTGATGTCTAATAATAAACAACCGGCAATGAGATTTCAGTAAGTAAAACAGGATTTTCATTGTGTTGTGTAACATCTGCACTCATCTGACATACAATACTGCTGGCAGAATGATGATTTCTGCTGCCATACAGTAATGTACATTGTCATAATGGGGATGCAGCCTGTAATCTCAGAGCACAATGACCCAAAAACACACTCATCATCTTATGCAAGAGGCAACAACCACATATGCCCCCACCATCTCTCTGTCTCGCCCACTCACTCTCACACACAAATACAGAGTAAGGGTCAAAAGCGTACGCTAAAGCCCTTCAGAAGGACAAATGTCAGTTGCCACATAAAAACAAGGCTGTGTACTGTTCAGCTACTGAAAACTCAGCAGTGCCCCATCTGGGTCAGCCATTGTACATCCAGAAAGCAGATAATGGTGTTTTAATTTTTCATGGCAAAGGCTTTCATTCACTGCCTCTGTACTTTAAAAGGGGCTGGAGAGTGTGTGTCAGGGGGGAGGGTGTCTTGAATTTGTAAATGGTGTCTGAGTACTTTATGTGCACACAAGCATACAGGAGCATACAGTAGAAGAGGCAGACTATCAGGGGAGGAAAGCTGAAAACACATTAACGCCTGAAAGTGAGAGCTGGTGTGTAAATGTACAGCTGACTGGCACCACAAATCTGCATCCAACAGCCTGATAAGAGACCAAATCCTGTAAAATAAGTTGATATAATTTAGAAGAAATGTGCTGGACCTTACAAACCTTAAATGATGTGCTTCCCCATGTGATGAAAGTCACGTGACCATAGAAACACAATGAGAGTAGAATTGATTTTTATGTGTATCGTTGCCTTTGCAACCGTTGTGTGACAATTTTGGACAAAGGTGCAAAGGCCTTTAGTCTGCTACGTCTTCAAATAAATATGACTTCACGTTGTGTCAATAACGTTTGCACACCGATTCTGAAACGTTTGATTTACTGCATTTTTCGCATCTATCAGAAGCCTTTAGAGATGATTGACCAAGAATCAGTGAAGAACGTGACAGCAGGACACAGGTGCAACAAGACAGAGGAACGGGGCGCACTGAATCATTTCATAACCCAGACGGCTCACTTTCAACAGGTCAAATAGTAATACTCAGGTGGATGATGATGACGAGGAGGAGGATGTGGACTACACATGAAAGACAGGGAGGAAGTGGTGACAGCCAGAGAAGTAACGCCAGTGGAAAGAGGCAAAGGAGGAAATGTGTCTTTTAATTTGTCACGTATTGCAAATTTTCACAACATCGGTATGAGCGTGTAAGGTTTCTCTGTGTAATGATTTTTTTCAGATGACGGATTAAAAAAACGCATCCGGGAAAAAAATCGGACTCAGTGTGCAAAGGCTTGACTTCTGTATGAACAAACCGACTTTCGGCAAGTTGCAGACTCATTGAGGTGAGATCTTGAAGTAACAACCAAATCGGCAGCAGAGTAGTGGGCTAAATTTTCAAATAAACAAGCTTATTTTTAAATATTACCGAAAATGTTTTTACCTGTTTCTTTTGCTGCCATTAATTGCATGTTTGTTGAAAGAGTGATGTTAAGTTACTCTAGCTGCCTTCCATAAAGAGCCACAGCCCAGTGGACAGCTGAACAGTGGCTATTTTCACAGCAACTCAATGATTTAAGGGTTCATTTCAACCAAACCTGGGCTGATGACTGTTGGAACAGTGGACTAACTAACTAGATGACTATCAAGTCTATTTATGATGGTTTTGGTGAGTTTTATTTTGTTTCTGTCAAGTTTGAATGAGATGTTTTTTTATGACGAGTTGACAAAGCAATTAAGCGGAGTTCTCAAACTAGCAACAATCACCATTTACTGTTTTTCTAGTCAAACGACCACAGCAAACACTAAGATGTCCTTTCTATTCATTCCATTTCTATGCACGTAACGTAACAAGATGTTAAGAGGGGATCCTGTTATAGACAGCTAATGATTAAAAGTTGTAATCTAACTGCCTACGTTTTTCACAGCTTGTAAAAAAACAGCCACTTCTTGGGGTTTTACACTTTAGTGGTCGAGTAGCCACTATTAGAGAAGTGAAAGTTGATGGCAGAGCTGTCCACAACCATCAAATACTATTATGTCCAATCAACAATACATAAAACAGCAGGTTTTTCCTTCATAAATGTCACAACAAAAGCAGAAATGATGTCTCGCTCTTTGTACAATCTGTTTAGTTCAGGCTGTTTTGTACTGTTTCTATTAAAGCTTGTCCTTAGTAAGAAGTCATTTATCAGAGTGAGCCAAAGCAACATCATGCAGGATATCACTGCTGACACATCAAAAAGGGAAGTGAGCAACACAACAACACAAAAAAATAATATTTCTGTTATATCACAGCTAAGAACATAACAATGTAATGCCACTAGGGATGTCTCAATGTTAACACAGTGTCTGATCAAAGACCTCCCAGACTCCAGGCTTTTAAACCAAGGACAAACAACAGTGCTCGTCCCACTACTCTGCTTTTGAACTCAGTGTTGAGAGAAAACATTCAACAAGACTGAGAGATTTGGCTGCTCCCACAAGTACAGTCTGTAGACAAATAAACAAAAACACCTCAGGCTGTTATGCAACCAAGTACAGCACCTTGCAATAAATACAATCTTTGTAAAGCTAATAGTGTTAATCTTTTTATGGTTGTTTTATAGCTTTTCACATTTTGTCAAATGTCTTTCACTTAATGTCTGTGAGGGTCTACTTGTGATCACTGTTCCTCTTTTCTATCGCAGTTTTCCTGTGTTTGGCCTCTATTGCCATGATGTATTGGTGCTGTTTCCCTTTACCACATCGCATGATTTTTTAAAGCTGTGACTGATGCAACAGCAATTCAGTCCTTGATGTACCTCTGTAAGTCGCCTCAAAACTCACTAAAAAGATGCTGTCACACTGGCATTAAAGTAACTGACTCGGTTTACCAAGGGCTGAACAGAATAAAAGAACTATAAAGACAGTTAGCAGCTTTGAAGCAACTAAATCACAGTTAGGCGAACAAACGCAGCTACAAAAGTGAATCATGGGAAATTGTCCAAAATGTCATGATGACACAAGGCAAACACATGTAAAATGCATTTGCAAAGAGGAACAGTGATCACGAGAAGACTCACAACACTGAGATGTTTCTCAACACAACTGTGTGATCAGAAAAGACAAAAGAGATATACAATCTTCAAAGAGGTATTATTTAATGCAGGGTTATTGTGCTTTTACTCATTTACTTGTTTGAAGCAGAACAAGTAAAGAAAGAAAAAGAAAAACTCCCTCTCCACTGTAGATGTGTTAAATGGTCAGCCAGGGCTGATCTGATGTCAGTGGTATGTGTGTTAGGTCCCTGTTGCTGAGTGGGTGTTTGGTGGGGCTTGACTCAGCGTGGGCTGAGGCTGCGGTGGCATTACTACCTACTTGGTGTCCTACAATACTTAGTATCCTTCTCTTGGTAAAGCCCCTTCCAGTCAGTGTTTTCACTTAAAGAGTTACAGTAAAAGTATGATATGAGTCACACTATTAAGTTCAATAGCTGAAATGCAGATGTGCAGTACAGCATAGCAGAGGATCTACACCCAACCAGAAACAATGAATATGAGTTTATGCAACAGCAAATGACCAACAGCACCAATGCTCAGGCTGACAGCAATGCTGGGAGTCAAATCAAGTCAAGTTCATTTATATTCATGCAGCACAAGGTCTCAGCTTGATGTATGGATCATGCACAAAAGCAGAAGTTGACAAATGAGCCAAAATTATCCAAGAAAACAAGAAAAAGGTTCACTAAAACTTTGGGAATGTAAAGAAATGGAAGAAACACAGGGAGAGGTCGATGTCAAGTTGAACTCTGAACTGTTCAGTGAAACATAGCAACAGCCCACCACATGTTAACTAGTAATTCCTAGTGTGAGAATGTTGAGGATTAGAATCTCGAGCCTCCTGACTGACCTCACATTTAGGACGCATTTACACTGGCGCTATTTGGTCCACTTTAACGAACGCTGGTCCACTTCCACGGATAGTTTGGTTCGTTTGGAGTGGTGTGTACGCTCATTTGAACTGTAGTGCGCACTCAGGTCTGCTTGAAAACTGGTGCGGTTCGCTTACAGTGGGAGA